GATTGATATAGAAGGGTTTGGATAATTCATGTGTCCTCGAGTACATTGAGAATATATATATATATATCATATAGAAAAAAAGCCGGTCAGACATCATGACTTGATATTAAATTGAGGCTTTTGCAAGAATGAGTCCCAGCAATGACGATGTTCATCATATGACGAAGGAAAGATCAGTTCGTCTTTGCCCGAAACCTTGGAGGATATTTCGTGGACTACGTCAACGTGAACGTTGTATCAAAACCAAACGGCTGCCATATAACTGTAATCGGCCGTTCCCTAAATCAGAATAACAATAAACCTGGATACCAAATCTACACTAATGGTAACTCTTACTCTTAGGTTAATTATTAATCTACCAATCAAACAAATTCATAAGTTTATGGTTGAATATTAATCTACTTTTCTTAATTGTCTGTATATGACAGGTGATGTGGTCCCACCAGAAACCGAAGGATTGCCGCGTAATGAAGACAGGTGTATTGTGCGAAGTAGTCCTCGGCTCACTGACCTGTAACCACGATGAACCTGTGCTAAGCCTTCGTCCGTACTGTGACAGACAGCATCAGAACAAGAATCCAGACTTTAAGAAATAGAGCAAAATATATTAAACCATAATAAAACAGTCTTCCCTACGCAGCAATCCTTTGATTTAAGCTGAGACATCAAAAATTCCCTTTAACCAACTTTTCCTTGAAAGTGGAAAATCATTTCACAATATATCACTAAGGAATTCTTCGAAACCCGGTTTTTCTTCATATCTGGCTCATTATCTGCTTTAGATTCCGGTCCTCGTTAACATAATAAACGAGGAAAAAAAAACAGGTGATTCTCAAGCTCAGGCATCTCCTTATTACTAGGCTTTAGACCCATGACCCAGTTATCTTCTTTCTCATCCCCACCACATCCGCTGTTATTATCTGCGACTCTGTGTAGGAGTTGCTTCAGAATCGCTGGTGTAAAGATGGATCACTTCCCTTCTCCACTCGTAAATAACGTAAGTTACGAACCAAAGGTCACACCATCCTGGTTTCCATATCTATAGATTACTAATGCTTGATTGTTATGTATAGAGAGAGAGTTCAGCCACCGACAGACTAAAGTGACTGAACTAGCCGACTTGGTGATGATTATAACCAGTTCCAGAGAACTTTTAAATTCATAAACTCAACCAGAAGAACAGTTGAAATTACACATACCAAGTTTTGCTTTTTCTTGGAGGATAAGACCTTCATGATCCTGGACTCATACTATACTGTGTTCTGAGTTATAAGTGGTTGTCTTGAACCCCGGCTTTAAACACGGATGCGCACACACTTACACGAAAAGATAAATAAAAACTTTAATTTTTCGTATATAAGGAAGTTTTTCTATTTTAAGATTAACATGAAAAAGAACAAAGCCAACCGTCCAATAGTTATTTACATATTTCCGATTATACTTTAGTTATGAACATATATAGTATATGAGTTAGAGTGGCTTAATCTCTTTTACTTTATGTAAGCTAGCATTTTTTGTAAGAACAAGATTCAGTCCTGACAAAGTCTGTCATATAGAAGACATTTCACGGGTTGTATCAACGTTAACGTCGTAGTAAAACTAAACGATTGCGAGATGGGAATAGGTCATAGCCTAATTAGGATTTAACAACATTCTCTCAACTAGGCAAGATAATATTATTAAAGATTGAGCACATAGGCGATGAAACAAATATTTACAAAAAAAGGTTGTGCGAAGTCATTTAAGATAATGCATAGAAGGAAATATGCCTATTCATGTCGCTAATCAAGGCCATTCAGAAGATTAGAGATAAAAAATTTAAAGATTTCTCGCTATAAAGCGAAAATCTGCTTACTTGTCTCGGAGACGAGGGCGATACAACAGAGTTGTGAACCAAAGTATTTGAAAATTCGCAAATTCGCCTCGAATGAGTGTCCAGAGGTGCCGACTGTGGCACTAAATGATCGGATTGCGGAGGCTGAGGTTTAATATCATTACATATATGTCCGGGAAGTCGATCGTGAAGGGCGGATGAACAAGGATGGCTCGAAGAAATAACAGCAAGAGAGGAGTCCTGCTGTAACGGCTGATGGGGTTGGCAATGCTGGTGCAATGGTCCAGGTGGCCAGAAATAAGCACTATGATGTTGACGGAGAGGATGACATTGTAAGTGATCATGAATGACATTTTGTTGTTGTCGAGAGCAATTGTGGCGATAATGCTGATGGTAACGGTAGGTGTGCTTAGCCTGTGGCAAAGGAGACAAGATAGCTGAGAGTGCTGTGTTTACTGGTCCAAATGAGGGCTCAAAAGTGTATGGAAAAGCCAGACAGCGCATACCAAGTGGTTTAGGTTTACAAGCCTGATGATAAATGGCCCTAGTCTTTGTTACCATAACGGCATCCGCACCGCTAACAGGAGGAGAGCTTACCAACCCCATTGGTGGGGATTGGACATGATGGCACTCGTTCTGTAATCCATAGAAATGGCTGGAGCCATGTTGCTGTTGTTGATGGCGATGAAAACTGGAATGGAGAAATGGGTAAGAGTAGGGCTGATGAGCACTAGATGTGTTGGAAAGACTAAATACGGCTTGCTTATGGTCTTCTTCAAACTGGGAATCAGCGGCTTTCAATGAATCTTCCTGAAAACAATCAACTTTAAGGTTGGATGGTTGAGTTGCTTCAAGAACACTGCCGCAGCTACTTCCAACACCAGCACCAGTTGCTGCAGCGCTAGATAGCATTTCAGAAGCGCATGTCCTAGTGTAGCCAGCTGAGGGTAGGTAAAGTGTAGGCATACTGCCACCAGAGGCAAGAACGCATGTCC